CACAGAGCCCACCTTCCTGCCAGCATCCTTGGGGCAGGCCCAGGGCTGGCAGCCACCAGCTAAAGCAAGCGGGGATGCGCTTTGGGGGTGGCAGCTGCTTCCAAACCGAGATGGTCCCAGCGTCGTGGGGAATGGCCAGTGCAATGAAACCAGGGCTGTTGGTACCTGTTCGCACGCTCGGGTCCCACGGCACCTTTTGAAGCCAACTCTGCACTAGTCTGTGCCTTCGTCAGGCAGGCCGTGACGGTCGGTGTCCGCCTGAGTGCCGAGGAGCGCACCCCTGTGCCATGCGCAGGGAAGGATGACTTTTATCGACCAAAGGTCTTTGTAGAATGCCTCCTGCATCTTTAATCCCAATTTAATCACAGATTACATAATCCCTTAATGATATCGAGTATTCAATAGTTGCTGCTCACTAAAAAAAGAACCAGAATTATGTCTCGCTGTCATTTCTGCTGCTTCAGTACTTGTTCTCTTCCATTTAGATATTTATTTTTGGTCTGCCCACAATGGCTGCATCATTGTTACTACTTTATGTTTTGATAAAAACCCCGAGTGACCAATTTTTGCACCTCCCTAGTCTTCTGCTCCAGTTCTGCCACCGCGTACCTTTTGTTTCTTCTTCCTATGCTTTTTCTTTTGTTCTTTTTCCCCCCCTTTTGCAGTAGGAGAGGTACATGATTTTTAACTGTCCAAGATTACCGTTCATGAAAAGGGTGAAGTTGAACAAAGGTTTCGCCTCACTTACATTGAACATTTCCGTGGGAGACTTTGAGCCTTTGATTTTAACCAGCTGCTGTAAACGTACAGAAGAAAACAACAGAATCTAGAAACAGTTCAATACAGAAGACTTGATTCAGTACCTTACGAGCCAAAGCAATCAATAATCTATTACGCATCTAATCACTGGCACGAAGAGCGCAGCAGCCCTCTGCACAGCCTTCCACCCGACGAGAAGGGCAGCTGGAGACCACAGAGAAGGGGGACGCAGATTGCTGAGAGGCACTGCAAACGCATACGCCTGGAGTAGGTCTACAAATGCAAATATTCAAATTCAGCAATCACCCCTCCCTCCCAGTGAATCACTCTGCCGTCGCTCTCTGGAGACCAGTTGCTATGGCAGAAAGCTGTAGCGATGGCAGAAGGCCAAGAATCCCGCCTTTGGAATGTTAACTGCATTTAACTCTTGACTTTTCCCAGAGAAGGTTCATTACTTCGTGTGACTGTGTCGTTTTAAATGAGTGCTTCGTCTGCCCTGGGTACAGTTTTGGAAGTGATATTATTAATCACCGGGACAGCGAAGCAGGTCAATAACAACCATTTGTCAATATGGATTTTTTTTTTATACCTTCAAGTCCAATACGTGATAGCTGCCATCACATAGGGGCCTTTTATTCTTCCATTCCTTTTTCTTTTTTGTTTCTCTTTTTTTTTTTTCTCTTCTTGCTGACTCCTCTCCTTGCTTTAGGCAAGTCACAGCCAGTTTGCAGCGCCTGGGTGCACTGCACAATGGTGCGATGAGGAGATCCTCCAGTTGGAACAGCGACAGCCCGGGCACAGCCACGCTGCTGCTCTGTTGCAGTGGCAATGCAGGCTGCTGCCTAGGATACCCACCGGGACAGTCGGGAGTTTAGAGACTTCAGCAAGGAACAAGTACAAACATCAGTCGAAAAGTAATTTTGTGAACGGCAGAACTACCTGCACATGGAATTCAGGCACAAGTTCTTCCTTCAGCTGCCTGAAGCATAGATCTGGCTCCCTGCTTAAAGGTTAGCTGCAGGTACCTCTACTGCACTTTTGCTTGAAGAGATCAATCCTTTTCACCTGCGTAAATGAGATCTCTCACATTTAGTTATTGGGCCAGATTTGGCAATTTAGGATTATCGAGGCTCAAGGAAACACCTAGACTAAATGTGATCAAATATTCATGCAGTGGTGCTTCTGACACCTTTTCTTTAACACTTACGAGGAGCTATTAGGAAGGACACGCACGCTGAAAGTTAACTGAGAATGGTAGAATAAACCAGATGGTGTTAGCGTGAACACAACCATCAAAGAGAATAGCGTATAGAGAAGAACTGCATCCACAGTTATAAAGATGCGGATTCACAAATGGTGACAATGATTTTTCTCCCACAAACACAGCAAAGGCATTACTGCTGCAGTAGAAAAAGTCTTGAACATAGTGGGCCATGTACCGAGTTGTAGTGGAGGCTGAGATGGCGGCGGCAAGGTTGGCAGGGTTGCTGTAGGGTATTCTTACTCCAGTTGGTACCTCCGGAGTTTTGCCCAGTCCCAAGAGCAGGTTAATAACCACGTGCTTCTCTAAATGGTTCTGTAGACTGCGGAACATTTCATCTTCCACCTTCAGAAATCTCGTTCTGATGTTCAACACCTGTTTTCCTCTATTCTACAATTCCATCTTCCAGGAATGTGCTCGCAAGGTAAGAGTGCTCTTGCACTCTCACGCTTCCCTTCTCAACAGGCTTTTGACTGTGTGCTCAGACCTGAAGGAGTTATTCCAGAGAAGGGAAACACAAAAGCCCTGCACAACAGGCAGTACGCTGCTACACAGCACTTAAAAAATGACTTTGCAGTATCACTCATGTTCTTTGTCATCTTCCACTAACCATGATTTTGACTGCTGCATCTCCTCTTCTCAAGATACAGTGATGGTAAAGTTTTTGAAAAACAACCCCCAATCATATAAGCCACGAGCTCCCTACTGCCTTTTTTTTTTTATTTTGTAACTAATGGATCACATTAATATTTCAGCTTTTCTCATAGATATGTATATACCTATTGTTTGATGATACAGGCTTTCTTGTTTAATATGGATCCTTAGATCAAGTGCAGAATATTTATTATAACTTTGTAGACAGCAGATCAAATCTTTGAAATCCACAGATCCCTCAGCTATACCAGTGAAAAGCAGGCTTCACTGAAAAAGCAACAACCAGGAACATTTAAAATGAACCATTTATTAAACCAAACTGTTATTTTAACAGTTACATAAGTTACACAGCATGTTTAAGTCAAAAGATTTCACAAGGAAAAAAAATTTAAACTTTCATTATGCAGGCAAAAATAGTACCACACAATATGTACCTGGGAGGGAAGAAGGGAAGGGGAACCTCTAAACATTCAAATAAGGCCATAATTATTTAAAAACAACAATAAAACAATAATAAAACCCCCCAAAGATCCGTTTTCCTTTCAGTGTGTTCAGTGCTGCTAACTATATGTACTTTTAGTGTACAGATGTAATCGAGGCAGTGATATCTTGATAGCTAGGTTTAATGTTTTAAAACACTATCAGAAGTGGAATAAGGCTCATTAGTACATACAGCTGCCCTTGGAATGTCAATCTCAGTTGCCTTCATTAACTTAAAATTCACAAAGTGCACAGTTAAGATATGCCAAAAAATTGAAACTGCTACTCTACCAACAGCTGCCCATGCTTAATACTTAGTGGTCTATTGGAACAAAGTATGTTCTTTCAAAAAAGATGTGTAAGAAAAGCCACTGTAAAACATTTAGTTTCAAAGATGCACTAGGAGCTTTTTGTAAACTGAAAACTAGAAAAACATGGATTAATTATGTAAAGAAAAGAATACAAAAAACACTAGAAATGACCATCGAACTTTCAAAGAACAAGCACCACAATGGACATGAGCATTCGATTTTGCAGTGTACAGCAACGCAGTAAATTTACTCTAACCAATCCACTTCATCGAATTCTGAATCATCTTCTGAGTCACTGTATTCCACAGCAATGCGACGAGAAAGTATAGTAGCAACATCATTCTCAATGCGCTCATGCTTAGCTTCTTGTTCACGTTGCTCCTCAACTTTGCGTAGCTGGATACCTGAAGAACATCAAATCACAAACCTGTTACTCTCCTCCCTTTGTCACTGTACAAAGTATTTAGCTCATGATTCACAAAATGCTTTGCAAGCAAAAATGAAGGCTGAGGACATCGTCCTCCTCAGACAGAAGTTCTCTGCCAAGTTTTTAAAGAGAAGAACGTCAGAATTGCAATGGCAGACTAGATCATCAGTCCTCCTACTGTAATGTCCTGCTTCCGATTTCCCATTAAAAACACCCCCACGTTTTTAGCACCACTCTAAGTGATTAAGGCATTTCACTATTTGCATTTCCAAACAATGTTTATGCTCTCCCTTCATGGTCTCAATTAAAAGTTATAGCTATTTGAGTATCCTAACAAGACAGGATTTCTTGTAACTCAGTTTTGATCGTGTAATGATCTGGTTTGGGATAAAGTATTACTTAAAGATCAAACACAAAGGAGAAATAACACATACTGACAGTATGAGAAAGTTAAATCCAGTAACAAGTTAAAAACATGACAGAGATTATTTATTTGGGTTTTATACTTACGACACCACAGACTGACACAGTCTAAATACGACCCATGTCCTGTACTTAATACTCTCTGTTGTCAACTGCCAGGCAACACAAACGCAGGTCCTTAGTGGAATTTAAGCTGTGGTAACTTGAGCCTTTGTTTCTTGCGTGAGACTTGCTCAAAAGCTTTTTCACAGGAATCACCTAAATTATACCAGCAGGCTCTCCTTTATTAAGTTTTTCTGCTGACGTTCTCTACTAATGGTTATGCACCGCTGTTACACTCAACTGCTGTTGATACTTCGTTAGAGTTAATGATGTTATCAATTCGTGTGCGTATAGATGCTTTAAAAATATTCTGAATTAGTATTATAGCCTATCTACTGATATTACAGTATCATACAGATCCTGTACTGTGTTGTACATGCAGGGCAACACCAGAAGAACGTAGTACTTGAAACATTTGAGAAGGATTAACTCCTCAAAGATACCACGCAGTCAAAACCGCAGCACTCACAGTGCAGTGGGGATTTTTCTGGCCGTAGGCACATAAGCTGAAAGGTACAGCTTGTACCTACAGCTCCTCACTAGGTCATCAGGGAAAGGCTGCCCTGCACCTCTGCCATTCACTTGCACTCTGCCAGCAGGGCACCTTGCAGTGTAAAGGCTGCTCCGCTACTGCGCTGAGACATGCCAACATTAGATACTTAGCAGTTTTAAGTCTTAAGCAACGATTTCTGAATGTCATTTATGTGTTTTGGTAATACACTGATATATGATCAAAACTCCAATGCCAATCGATCTGTTCTGCTTTTAATCTACCAGTCTGTGAAAAATAACATTTTCATCTTCTACACAGTCTGCAGGTTATCAGAAATAGCTACATTTTCAGGTAAACAGAAATGAAGAGATAATCCCCACAGATCCTCTATAAACACGTGTACTTTTTTTTTTTAATCTAACTTCCACAGAGAACCAGTTTTGCCATCCAAATTAAACATCTGGTAAGTGCAATTGCAAATTGAAAAAAAACCCCTGTCTACTTGGCAATGCATACGCTGTAGAGAATAGGAAGCAGAAACAGACTTAAGATGCATTCCTCTAAACTAACTTGTTATGCATGTGGAGTATTCCACCTCTCAAGGCACGTGTATTTAGCAAGTTTCCGAGACTGTTCTTTCTGCCCCTAAATAGCCAAACATTACCTTTCCGTATTGCTTCCAGCAGAACGCTTCTAGCATCACTGATTACAGGAAGAGTTGAAGGATGGCGTTTGGGTTCAGGAGCAGGAATCACTTGGGATGGTGGAGATGGAGGCATTAGGGGGGCATGAGGGCCAGGGACAATGGTTGCGGGAGGAGGGTGTAGAACAGGAGGAGGGTGAGAAAGGGCTGCAACTGTGACAGGAGAGGAGGGTCGAATGCCAGGAGGAGGCAAGGGAGGAGGTGGGGGTGGTGGAGGAAGTCCCTGTACTTCAGCCTGAGGAGGAACTGGGTGAACGGGTACAGCTTCACACACTTGGGCAGCCCTAGTGACGGGAGGAGAGGGTTGTGCTAGGGGAGGAGCAATTGGAGGTGGAGCTGGATGTAAAGAGGTGGTGGTGGTGGAGGAGGAGGAGTGGGGCTCACGAACACTGGTGTCCTGCCTGTTGCTGGTGACTGAGGACGATTTTCTACCAAGCCAGTAGTAGAACTGAAACATCCAATAAGAGGACAAAGTTATTAGAGCTGGACAGTGGAAAAATTAGTAATAGATTCAATTTTGCAACTTAAGAATATCAAACACTGGGCATTAAAGAGCATTACGTACTATGATGACTTCAAGGTATTCATACCTCATATACAAGGAAATCTAATTCTTGGTATGGAGTATGCATGAGTCTTCCAACAGACTTGTGCTCAAATTCAGCTATTAACCAAGTTTATGCTCTTATACAAACCTGCATCTTCCTATACTAGTATAATTCTCCTCTCCCATTCCTAAGCAAATCCAAATTATTTGGATTAGTAAGTAAGGGAACTAGCAGTTGATTAACTCTTTCGATTCACAGAACTTCAAAAACAAACCAAAACAAAACAGTACACGCAATAAGGATGAGTTACATTTGAAATACATATTTAAGGTTTGATGACAAGATGAGTGAGGCTGGTATCAAAGGTCATCAATTCAAGGTACAGAGAGGTGTTATTTATATGCTAGATACTCGTTATAGTGCACTGAACAGTTGAATTGAAGAAAACAAAAGGGAACAGTAAAATTATTTTCCTGAAAGAGCACTAGAGGATTTATTTCAGCTGTTGTGGAAAATTAATCTAGAGTTATGCATTTCTGTGTATAATCTCCTGAACAGTAAAGACATTCTTTTCAACATACTAACATCTTGCTGATGTCACAACCGTGTCTGAATTAACTGTCTTCTATTCCAACTTGTATGTACCTGACCATCATAAAGTAAGATTTTGGGTATAAAACAATAGGGGAGTGACAACCAGAGCCTCACTCTAGAAAATAATCGAAGTATGTATCCAGTTCTGGAAAGGCACAGAGAAAAACAGAAAATAAAAACACTTGGGGGAAGGAAAAAAGAAAAAAAAGCAGTTGCAATTTAGCATATGTGATGAATATATAGTTTTGATGGCTGACTGCCTTACTGCAAAATATTGTTCTTTCTATGTAGGCTGAAACACACCTCAGTTTGTACAAATTTCAGATTTTCAAGATTTCCAAAATTCCAAAGCTAAATCCTGAGATTTCAACATCTTTCACAGAAACATTTTCCATCCAGTTATTTGTCTCGCCATTTAACTCAGAAGGCGACAAAGTTGCAATATTAATGGCAAGGTGAGGCCTGCCTCCACAATAGCACCCTACGGGGTTTAGATGCCGACCTTTCTCTCCAACTCCTGCGTGGCCCCACAGCTACAGAGATGTGTCAGGGCTGCGGACTGACATTGCCCCTAGGTTGTGTGTACTGCCTGAGCTGCACGGAAATAATACTAAGGACTATTAGTGGGGTGGTGGGAAACTAAAACTCCCCAATAAATCTGCATGTGGCTTGACCACTTCATACCTAACACAAGGAGGCACAGGTTTCACATCTCCTGCTCCATGCATTGGAGGTGGTGGCGGTGGTTCATTTGGTCTGACCAGCACTCGCTCCTCGGCTCTGTTCAGAAGTTCGGACATCTGGCTATAGGGTAATGCAGAAAGCGAATACGATCCATCCATGTGGTCCACATATGCTTGAGATCTGTACGAAAAGTGAAAAATGATCCAGCATAACCTTTAGTAAAAGTATTAGTGCCCTCAGCTACTGTTCTATACTTCAGTTTGATTTCTGGATTCAAGTATTTTCTCTGTACCAGTGTTGCATGTTGTACTTCATGGCTTTTTAATAATTTATCCTGCTTTCCATGCCATTGCTCCTAGCAGCTCAAGGGTTTAACAATTTTGACAGCTTCTACAGTATGTGTGTGATCTTAGTGTTTATTAGTCACATTATTTTGAGTTAAGTAAACATAGCAATACAATCAGAAATACACATATACCAGAGTGTATTATGAAACAGACTTTATACTCAGTGATTGTTTCTGCTCCTCAGTCCCTACATATATGCAACCATATTCTTTAATAACATTCATGAAACATCCATTGATGTTAGAATGGTAGAATTTACAACTGAATAATTTAGCTGAACTTCTGCCAGAGAATCTATATTCCAATATACACAGAGAACTCAGTACTTTCAACCTAATACTTTGTAGCTATACAATGGATGTAAGGAAGATAATCTAAATATCTGTTATTAAGTAGTAGCAGTAAATAAAGACAATTCAACTTACTTGTTAATGACAACTTCAGAAACACCTCAAGGATCTGATCAGTTAGGAAATTTTAACGAACTACTCAAAGATTTTAAAAACATTTCTCTATTAAATTCAGAGGAAATGTTTGCAGAACACATTCCAAGAAGTAAAGTAACACTCTACATTTCTACATACTGCCACTGCTGTAGAATCTAAGCCTATTCAATTCTTTGGGGCTGCAGTTCTTACTCTGTTATTCAAAAGCACAGTGCTCTTCTGTATCTGAACAACACGCTCTGCACATGTAGCGCTCTGAAGCATTATTCATAATTGCATTATTGGTACTGAGATAATCAGGGTTTAGGCCAGGGACCTGGATATAAAAGGAGTCCTGCAACAAGTGTGTCTAATGTGGAATCCGATGTCCAACACAACAGAAGGACAGCAGGAAAGCAGATGTTCCTGCCAATGACTTGGCGTAGTAGTTTACAAAGATAAGATACTATAAAATTGTTGCCAAAAAAATGCTAATCACCATAACGTGAGTTGTACCCTACTCAATGAAATGCACTGAAACCACTTTTACTTTCTGAATTGAGCTAGGTTTTTTACAAGCAGATTTCTCCAATTTTCAGACAGCAAACACTGTCTCCCAGAACTGTCACAATTATCCACTGTCACCATTAAGTTTCTTTGAAAGCTTTACAAAGCTGAGCAAAATATTCTCTTACAGTGCTTTTGGCCAGTGAAGGATAGGGGAAAAATGTAACTCTTTTTTTGGAGGACAATGAATACTTCTTAATTTAAAAATCCCCAACCCGCAAAAAACATGCCCCCAAAACTCCTACTATTACTTGTCAGCCCTCTTTCCTATCAGATGTTTCTTGGCTGGTTAAATGGACTTGGCTTTGCATAAACACCAGAAGCATAAACACAGCAGGTGTTTACCATGTGAAATGCTACTTTTAGCCACCAGCAAATATGTGCTGTGAAATGAGAATCCAACAGGTTGGATTTTGTAATAGACTATAACCAGAAATGTCAATCAAATTTTGGATTTGCTCAAGAGTAAAGAGAAGCTCAGCATTCTCACCTGAGTTCCAAGTAGTCATTTGTTCACATCACACCCACCATATAGTCTGGGCAGTGTCTGCTTAAAAAGAAGTCAAGAGACCAGAATAATAGGAATTTTTCAGGTCAAGACTGGAATGTAGTGACACTCCTGGGTGCAAGCTTGCAATGGTGACACTGCACCTTCTTCAAATTGCAGACAACACCACATCCTCAAGGATACAATGAATTCCAAGGATGTGCGCTACTTTTAAAAATAACAAGGGAACAACTACTCCTTTAAGGACACACTAGGTATTTTAAAACTTGAGTTATGATTGAGCTACATCAATGATTTCCAGTGCATTTCAAGAATAGCAGTAGCATCTCAACATTTTCCATTTCTCAAGCATGTTCACTATGTAGTACAAATATCTGCACTTAATAAAGGATAGAAAAAATAAAAAGAAACCTTGATTCAAAATGTGAAGCTGGGCCATTAGCAACTTCAATGTGCTTATGTAAGAGGTTAGCATCATCTTCCGCGAGCTCCGGACCTTGGGCTAACTTCTGCCACTCTCTCCGTCTGTCATGAGGTGCCCTTGGCACTTTTTCTGGTTCATGAGGACGATCTAGATTTTTCTGCTGTAGGAGATTTGTGCAAACAAAACTGACAACTAAGACAGTGGTTTTTAATTAGACGCATTTAAACATCAGCCACAAAATAATGAAAACCAATCCCAATTCAACTGCAAGAAAAATGTACTTCCAGTCTAAATACGGTAAGTAAACCAAAAAGACTTGTAAGAGGCAAAGATTTCAGCCTAGCGGATAATTAGCTGAATAATACAGAGGAAAATAACTGTATAAGTAGCTTTTCATTCTAAGTCTGAAATGAAATTACCAATCTGACACTTACATTTACTATCTCTGTATGAAATACACAGAATGGCAAAACAAACAAGTAGCATTACCTTTGCAACAGTGTTTGTTTAGTCTTAAGAAAAATATAAACAAATTGCTCTATTTCTACTAATTTCTTTCTAGTTTAGAGTAAACGTACCTATTAGAATGTCAGGCAAGATTTTTCACCTGTAAGACTGTCATAATTTTGTGTTATAAAAAAGTGTTCCAGTGAAATTTTTTATTCTTGCCATATCCCTCCTTTTTTCTGCTTTTTCAGTCATTGCTAGAAGACTTACAAGTTTTGGCAAACCTGCAGTTAGTTACATTAAGACAGCATGAAAGCTCTAAGCCCTTCTATATTTTTTAATTGTTATTATTATTAAATATTTGTTAAAGTCGATGGAATTGAATGAATACAAGCAGTTTTAGTTGAATGAAGATGACTCTGTAAAAAGTTTGGACTGTTATTAATTACATAACCAAAAAGGTACCATATCTGCAAGTAAATCCTTTCCAGAAAAAAACAACCAGAAGCTGTATAAAGCTAACATATATACCTTCTGCTTCCTCTTTTCTTTTCTTTTGTCCTCGGTGTCTTGCAACATTTTTTCCTTCCACAGATCAAAGAAGTATGAAGGATTGGTATAAAACTTCAAACCCTCTTTTCCATCATCCCTGAAATATAATGGCGCAAACCGGGCATACTATTTATTTGAAAACACACAAATCCAAACATTAAGGCAAAGGAAAGGCATATTAAGGAATACCTAGTGTCCTAGACTCTGAAATATTTTACTGAAGAACACTAAAAAGATGAACATTGACCTCCTGTGCCATCATTCTTTACTGTCTTTCCTTGTGTTCAAGGTCCTGATTTTAGAAAAGTAACATTAATGCAAGCTGTAGATAAAAAGAGCTTGCTCTTAAAATAATGAGCAAATTTGTGTGGCTGCTCGTGTTCAGCTACTGATTCAAATTGATTTTGGGACAGCAAACAACATTCATTTCCATTAAAGACCTTTCTTTCTACATACTTACCTGCTTATTTTCTTCACTTTGCATCCAAAAGCATTACACAGTTTAATAAACACAGATAAAAATGGCTTTTTCTTACCATTGTTACACTGGGGTAAAATTTGAGTGAAGTGGAGCAAAATTTTAATGCCTGTAATATCTTCGGCTGTCTGTATTCCTCCAGCAGCTTCAGAGTTTTCTAGTGCGGCTCCTTAAATATTCAAGTGCTACTCAACACGAGCAAGGTCCCTGGATATAGCACCTCTATTATATAAAATAAACTAGAAATTGGTTTTGATCAATTTTATTTTACTAACCTGTAAGGGGTGAGAATGTTAAGTGGAGGAGGCTGTTCACAAATGTCATAAGTTTCTTGCAAAGGAATAGGCAGAGTTTTGCGGTCAAACAGCTGTTGATCTTGAATCGTGGAACTCCGGAAAGCTTTCCTCATTGTAATGTCCTGCAGTGACACTGAAAGGGGATATTGCCATTTTAAAAAAACACCAAAGATAGTTTATCTGGATTAATCTGGAATTGCTTAATGCTGGCTAGAATATAAATATTAAGCATAGTACTAGCATGTTACTCATTTTACAGCAAGTATAAATTCATCTAGCACTGTGTGCTTTTAATGTCCTAGCACGTTATCCTCCACTTAGCTTCATAGGAAATTTTTGCTCACCCGGGTAAGATATCAGAACTCTGTCTCTCCAAAGCAGTCCAACAAATTGCTTACTGTAGCTATAAAATATCATTCTGTAGTTCAGAAACACCTAATAACATTTACCAACTCCACAATCTTTTTGGTACTAAAAAATTACTCTCTGTCTTGAGGTATAGATTTTACCTTTATAGTCTCAGCAAGCCAAACTTTGCATTCCTTGCATGTAGGTAGCAGTTCCACTGAAGGCCCACTGAGATGCCAAACCAGCAAATTACTTGAGCATATGCTACTGATCAACTATCAGTGAGTTTTAATGGCAGGTGATACTATGTTCCAACACATGAAACTAGTCAAATGTTGGTTTTTAATCAGGCTGTTTAATTCGGTGAGACACCCTGAGTTTTTAAGCACAGTAGTCAGGAATAAAGAATTATCTTTATGTAAGATTCCAAGGAAAATAGCACCAAGCAGACACAACAGATTAAACAGTGACTTGAAATATACTGACTTACTGCTGTTAAAGCCCAAATATCTTTTTCTATTTCACAATCCCATATCACTAGGGCCTTTGGCAACAATTTTTTAAAGACTGCATCTATTTAAGCTGGAAGTTGCATTTTACTCTGGTTCCTGTAACACATACAAAGGTACACATACGTACATGTGCGTGCACACACACACAGAGCGCTGGATTTCTATTGTATGATGACGAAGGGGCAGAAGGCAGGATTCTTTCCAGAGGGACTGCAATTCCTGGAATGTTCTATCTTCCTACCTAAGCATATTGGCAGCATCCTTTTGTGAGGTGAAAAGTTGGGATTTATTTGATTTTCAGTTTGGCTTTTGAAGTTTATTACAGTTGGCAAGGTTGTGTCTTCCTGGAGAAGTTTGCTCCTTTTTACCTTTAGGTTCTATTTCATTACAGTGTCTTTTATTCTTTTTAATATCCTTTAATTAGCTGCTCAGAAGCCTTTTTAAGTATGTGAAATAAGTATTATAATGTATGAATGTCAGCTAGGAGTCTCAATTTCTGCAGGTATTTTTGCATTCATAATCATATATATTTTTTACCTGTCATGAAGTACCGCTTGTTATTTGCAGGTAAAAGTTCACAATTAGAAGAACTGGGGTTTACCTCATCTAAAACCCTAGTCTTAGATTATTTTATACTTCACCTGTTTTTCCTTTGGCTTGTTGGTTTTACATATCTCATCAAATGTACTTGTTCAGAGACGCTTGGCAATCCTGCGAGTCTTTAAACTGTCTGTCACTTATTGGAGACTATGCCAACAAAAATAAAAGTTAATATACTTCTCTTCGAACCTGTGTACATTCTGAAGGCAATTAAGTAAATTAACTTGTTCCAATAAATACAGACAGTTCTTTGTTTTAATATTAAAATGCTCACAGAGTATGTGACTTCATATTATTGGGATGTACATCTCTCTATAAACTCTTATCAGCATTCCTTAATCTCTTAAATGAGGAAATACAGCCAGTCTAATTCACAATCTCCATTTTCTTGTTTAAATCTCCACTTTTTGTAAACCTGTACATGGGGATAACACACCTCAGGATAATCAATCAACCCACAACAATAAGTGTAGATGACTTTCTCTCTAAAACTAAGCTACATAGCAAAGCTCTTCATAGAAAACGTACACTGTGGAATTTCAAACAGCTAACAGCATTTGCTGCGCCGATATATCCAGTGACCAGCACTGCCTGAAAAGCGTGCCATTATTCACACCAACTGACCGTATTAGGACAACTTGAGTAAGGAAACGAAAGGACGTGGCACACAAAATACTGAGAATCATGACACTCATACAACTCGCCTACAGACAGGGATCAGGTAAACCCCATGTTTCAAGCACAGCATAATCCTGGGCTGTGCAAGGCTTGGCTTACAAAGCCATTTGTTTAGCTTGCCAGCTGGCTAAGAAACAGAAGCCCTGTGCGGCTTGCCACCTCGGGGGGGAGAATATGTGAAAACCTGGCTGGTCATCCAGCCACTTAGCTTTGGCGGACTGACAAACTGGCACAGCATGAGGACAGGGGAAACAAATGGGACGTATGAATTCAGGTGTGAGAAGAGACGAGACACTGAACAAGGAGTAGGAAATGCTGCAGGCATTTGACTTGATGCTGATAAATGTAAACTTCCCGTTGCCTAATTCTTAACTAGCACCAGAACCTTTGTGGAGCCCAAGATCCTAGATTTCATATGGATACATTTTTCCTGAAGGTCCCATCTGCTACCGCACTTGTGTTTACCGCAATGAACAAAAAATGGGGTCTTAGATAATTTCCTTAAATGTTGAGACGTTCACAATTTAAGTTAAACATTCATTCAACAGTCTGAACAAATACTAGTTTATCTTTACTGTGTCTGTTGTTTGGATTGTAAGAAAAGACCTATTATATCAGCCAGTCTAACTTTCTGTACACCACAACATTTTCCACGTAATTAAAAACTATCTGTCAGAAAGCTAAGCTACCAACCTTTTGTATATTTGGTTTTGGAAAAAAAAGATGCCAGTCCATTTTTATTTGTAATCAACAATGAACTGGGGGAAAAAAGGTATTTAAATTGCACTCTAGTAAGACAAAATAACTGGGTTTCTTTTGGGCTGACACATCAGTAATGTATATAAAAAAATAACAGTTTACCTCCTGTTAAGCCTCTCATTAAACTGCAATCCCCAATTTGTAGTAAAAGTCAGGTATGGAGCTCATCAGTGTACCAACAAAGTAGGTACATTTACATTTCAAAGATATTACATTTTATTTTACCTCACCAGAATAAAACAAACCACTGTTACTAGATTTTTAAATTATTTTAAACTCATGCCAATGTGCAATTTATGAAGCAGTTCTAGGCCAAAAAATACTGTTTTCCTAAAGGTGGTAAATAAATAATAATATGTATTCCTTTTAGAAGCTTGAGCTCTCAACACTTTCTGCAGAATTTCATCCAGACAACTTTTAAGACCATAAACACTCAAATACGACAGCTATGATTCCTTGCAGAACTGAATGACTATGGGAAATTATATACAAATCAATGGACTCGGTTGCCCACAATCCCCTACTCTGTTCAAAATCTTACCCCAGATGAATGACAATATTGAATGAACAACTTAGTCATACAATTCCAATTAATGGAGGGGTAGGGTTTGAAAATTCTCTCCAGGTGAAGATTTGTGTGATTCAGTTCCTAAAGACGCTGCAATCTTCAAAAGTCTGATTTCTACTTTATATATTTTATTTTTTTAATGATTATCCACTTCAGTAACACCTAGAATCACACAGGAACTAGGTTTCTCTGGCATCAGCATACTTCTGACTGGTCACTGCAGGTTTAACAGTTGCTAAGCAGAGAGGTTACTTCTGCAGAACAGAAACTACTCTCCTTTCGGCTTGTCCCCAACACAAGTAAAATTTTCTGAAATCTTGATTTAAAAAAATCCAAAACAGCTCAAGCACTCTTTGGATAGGGAATGTATGTAGCTTAACTCCTACAGGTAAACGAAGAGAAGATGTAAATGTTACAGCAACCAGAAGACTCAGAAGCTGTTTTAAATGCAGCGTGTGGAACCAGGGAGCCCCGAGCAGCCCCTTAGGGAAGATGTGAATCACCCAGCTGCATCAAGCAGTGAATCTGCTGGTGAGCCTCAACAAAACCGCCACATTATTTAGCAAATGACATTTTGTCCAGATCCTTCTTTTTATATACAAAATACAAATTATGCAATATCGTGGCTTTATCACTGAACTATTAAGCCTTAGACACACTAATTTAAAACTGATTTACTTACAAATAACCCATAAATTGAATTGAGGGCCAAGAAAATTGGAAGAAAAAGCACGGGGAGCAGTTGGAGCTCAGCCCATCTGCCCAGATCTTTGAGAGGGAGATGCACTCAAATCCAACATTCAGTGAAGTGGAGATGTGGTAGGAGAAGTGGCCTGCTATACAATTTAATTTAACAGTCTTTTTCTTTATTTGACTTTGGGGGTAAAAATTCTTACGAAAAAACTGACAATAGTGTTATTCTCCACATTAACATATTACATGGGGGGGCAAGGGGGCATGACCCAATTTTCATGTGCTCCCTGTTCGTTACTTTGGTAATATTTATACTCAAGTCACCAGATTCCTCTTCAGAGGCTAGTGACGATAAGTGAGCTGCCCTTAAAATGGGATTTACCACCCTTTCTTCTAAGTCTCACAATGGGCTGAGTGTCCTGATTTGCAAGTTGACCGAGTCTCCCATTTGCAGAAGTATACAGACCACAATTAGCTGTCAAGCTTTTTAGGTTTCTCCCCATCAGATGCCACCTTTTTTGCCTATAGTAAAACCTTGAATATGTCTTCACCATTAATCCAGCAAAACTTCTGAACTACTCTCCTTTCTATGACAGGGCAGTATTTCTAGAACGTTTAGTGAAAAACAAGCGCACATATTCAAAGCCAGAAACCTACTGAAATACAGTTCACAACGTTGTTTGATTCCTCTCCTGAAGTACGCCAGGCTGCTCAGCCATAGCACTTCTGCCATTAAGGTTTTTAAGTTGCTTGTCCCAGTTGTAACAGATACGCTGTAGAAATCAAGAATTTGATACACTGCCTTTGAGATTAAAATCCCCTCCAGTCTGAGATTTAAATAGAATTAGGCAGTTCATATTAAAGAACCACTAAATTAATACTAAAATATGCAGATAAACTCTTAGTTTATGAATTCTCCTTCTGCCATGGCACCATTTGAGTGATACACAACTATTTTCTAATACTTCATATTGCACTGTAGATGAGAGCTGTACTGTGTATCAGCATTTCAAAAAAGAACAACATAAAAGCTAAAATGAATGTTCTTTTAAAACCTGTCAGATTTCTACAGATATGAAATAATTTACTTGTAGTAGCACTTCAAGATAATGGCTTGGGAAAAAATATTATTATACTTATAAAATTTGCATATACATGGAGAGAGTCAGTAATGCTGAAATTAAACATGGTTGCGAAGAAGCTATACTCTTAGCGTTTGTTTTCTGACCTATGAGGATATCTTACATTGCTGGGCTACTGAAACCATCAACTTTAGTTCACCTCCATAGCAAGAACATGTTTTCCCAGTCCTAAAAAGACCCCAGAAATGATATAACTCTTGAATACATATAGGCCAGTTTTCCACATAACTGAAATAAAGTGCAGTTTACTGAAGGAAAGCAGAGGATTTCTTTTTGTCTGTATGCAATGTCTTTTGAAGGTAAAAACACACTCGTATGTAAAAAGAATAAAGTATGTAAAAAATAAATTACAATATGAAATAAGAATTTTGTGAAATCAAGAATTTGAAAACAGTGCGATAATTCAAACCAAACCAAGACAGAAAGATTGTGCACCAGCAGTTAGTTCCTTCAGGATACAATCCTAGCCTTGGTTTCATTTGGGTTTATTCTTTCACAGAGAGATTGTAATAATTCAAAATGAGAAAACACACAGGATATTCAAAAAATTCAGAGATTTTTATTACTTTGACTCTACCAGAAACATCTTGTCAAGTATCTGCACCTCGTTCAATGAATCTGACTTGGGGTGGTTTTGTTCATGCCACTTAGCTTTAAATGAATCTTAATTTCTTTCTCTTGTGTAATAGCATGGGCCCAAAGGAACATATTAAATCTTCCATTACTGCCTGCTGGCAAAGAACTAGCAAATGAGACTCATTTTACAAGTATAGCCCATTTTACACATGCTGTTAGCTGAACAGAAGTACTGAAATGTGCTTAATTCTTGCATAGAGGGTTAAGAAAGGCAGGAAAGGTAAATCCAAATGTTTTCCCCACACCTTCACGTGTTAACAACCTCCAGCTGTTTTAGCCCAGATCAGGACTAAAACAAAATTATTTGTGATGAACTTCTACATTTCAAACCCAAAATAGAATACTGAAGGAGAAACTGTTTCCTTATGCCTAATTTTTAAGGAAATACAGTATCAAATTTCCTCTCCTCTCCTTTGTCCTCATCTGGTGACTCATTCTGGGCAGGTGAATAAGGAACACTGGCTATGGCTCAAAGACTATATTCCTAGGTTAATAAATATAGTCATTTAACAGTTCCTGACACTGAGCACTGCATGTGTTCCTCCGAATTTCGAGCAGTCACTGCTGTTCTATGGTACGAGAGACAAATCCAGGGTATCAGATTCGAGTCATGCTTAGCCATTCTGGACTTGATCAACTAGACCTCTTTTCAGCTCTATTTTCTTTAATTGCGGTGCCTGTCCCTTTCTTTAGCTATTCAGTTTAGCAAATGTTACAGTATACACAGTACTGTGAAAAGTTATTGATCTGGTGCATTTGGGACTACATACTATTTAAAAATATTTCTAGTAATTCTCTAACATCAAATAGTTATGGATATTTAGTACTGAAACCTATAGCCAAAATTGTCAAAGGCCTTTTACACAGGAAAGTACAATTTTCCATCTTGCTATCCTGTAACATCCCTAGATGTTTCAACTCAATGACTTAAAATGGTCTCTCAATTTTCCTGAAATGTGAGTGGCTGCCATACTAGATATGCCATATCAACATATAACCCAGTCTGATTTAAACCAAAAACTGGGCTGTGAAGGGTAAACACAGAAATGACATTAACACTCTGGAGTATTACAGCTCTTACAAGACTACAATTGCTGACAATTTGTTACTGTACACAGAAAGGATTTTTGTCATTATCCAAGCACAGTAATCACGGTATTTTACTGGAAAAAGAAGGTGTGTGTGTATGATTTATGCTCAGTTGACAAGAGACTTGGAAAATCCCATTAATATAAGAATTCCCCTAGGCAAGTCACGATTTTGTGGAAAATCTGCTACTAGCTGCGAATAGCTGTCTTTTGAAACCTGCTCCAAAACCAATGTCACACAAAATACAGAATCAAAACTTCCTTAGCTTAATTTTGCTATTAGTGGAATTTCTACATCGGTAACTAAACACAGCTTGAGACCATGCTCCTGGTTTGACACTTCATTTTTCCTGAATGACACACAACTCTTCTACCTAGACATTCATAACTGAAACAGCTTTCTATACTTTAAAATTTGATCCCACAAGTAATCCAAAGTTATTTTTCATGACAGGATGTTGCTCTGCTTTCTAGGTCTTAGTCATATAGTCTAGAATACCCTAAAACTGTTTGGGGTTACAAGACCTTTCATAGTTCCACCTGTAACCAACAGATCAAGGAAGGCAAAAAAGCTTCATAGCATTTACATATTAGGTGGGCAATGTTCCTGTAGTCATCACAAAGCCCACGCATCATCGTTCAAATCCTGCAAAAATTCTATCTTATGGGCGTGAGCCCTACCCTACTGACTTTCGGAAGTACTTGTTTTCTCAGTGCTAACCGGTATTTATAGTACTTAAAGCTATTTATGAAGAATCCCAGGGAATATATAGCATCAATAAATGGAGCTATACAACCATAACTTCATACAGAAAGTAAGATGGTAACAAGTTACATGTAAAAACCCTACTTGGACAAATGGTTACATCCCACAGAAATTAGTAGGAAGGTTAAAAAAAAGAGTAAGGACTTATCTCCAAGCATTCACATAATATATAATATTAGTAATATTATTAACACTAACGCATAATACTACTGAAGTGCCACATACTCCTGTAGCAGTTTTTATGTAAATTCATTGGTAATGGTATTGTTCAGTAACCATGAAAATGCTGAGTTCAGAAAGCTGCTCAAGGCTATAAAAGAAACCTGTAGCAGAAATAGAAATGGATGTCTTTCTCATGATGCTTTGCTCTGTGTTCTTATAAATATAATTTAAACTATTATTATTTCCATTTCATGTATCAGTGGTGTCTGAGTGACAAAATAAGAAATTTTCAATGCAGGAATTAACTTACATTCCTCTTCCTTTGGATCAAGCTGTGTAACACTGACAGATAAGCGATCTACACGTTCTTGTAAAGAGTTGACTCTAAATGAGAAACTGTGTGCTTCATTGAAAAGTTCACCAAATATATCTTCAGCATATTTACCTGAAATACAAAATAAAAAAATAAAAATTCAAGCATACCACAAGACAGCCAAATGAGTTTGCCTTGAAAAAAAATTTCTGTTTTAAGTAAGTAAATCTAAGGTGCATGAGTATCACTTCTAACAACTGTACTTACAGAGATCATTAAGAATGCTTCAGAAAAGTTAGTAAAAGTTAAATTTGTAATTTATTTATCAGAAATTAAATTATTTAATACCTTACAGGAGAGATATTCAGCTGGTATAAATTGATTTAACTATGCTGATATGCAAGGAAGTAGACTGATTAATTTCTCAGACATGTATAAAAGGATGATTTCCAGCATCTGAAGCTGCTCCTGTATGAGCAATAACTAATCTTTCCAAGTGAAATTTATCTCAACATTTCTCAAAATGAAGCACATCTTCCACTCCTACTGTACAGAGGACCTTTCAAAAACAGAAGATCAGATATTTACATACAGGTTAATTAGAACTACCCTATTCAAAAATATACACTAAAATAATAAATCCCACTCCAAAGGATCAAAATTCTAGTAACTGACCAATCTATACTGAAGTAAAAGAACCACCTCCTTTGTTCACTTCAATGGACATTACACATTTAGCCAAACAGAGCAGGAGGTTCGAGTATCGTGAGAAAAGGATCAGTAACGAGTTCCTTTTCTACAGACAGAATACTCCATATAGTGCTTCTAATGCCCCCCAGACTCAATTTGAATAGTCTGCCAATGCCACTGAAAAAAACTACCAGACTGCCTAGCAAAATTTGTAGCCACATTTCTGAAATACCACATGACAGCTTTAAAAAATTTCTACCATACTGTGCATATGTAATTTGTTGACTATTTGTGCACTTACTCTGGTTTTGGAAGTATAAATCTCACAAATTTCCAACTACCTGGTTTGCAAACAAGTTCTGACAGGTACAATAGGAAATGATAGTTATGAAAATTTTGCCTTTGGTAAACAATACATCTGGAAGTATACATAAAAATGAGGACATTTTTAGATAAACACATGAAAAGGACAAAAAGTAAATCCCTACAGGTACTGTGGAAACTTCTTAAAGATACTACGTAGTAAGCACAAGGCCAGCCTGTACCATTTATTAAGACAGGTAATGGCAATAGAAAACCAGCATGACTATAAACAACAGAATATAAAAAGGGATATCAGAAAAATATACAGATGAAGAAAATAGAAAGGATCATAAATTCTAGCATATTAAACATAAAACTAGCCTGAGGAACAACTAGCAAACTAATAATAAATATTCCTTTAAAGATGGGAGGAACAAGAAAGTCTGCCAGGGAGTCTGTAAAGCCAACTGGTAATGAAAGTATAAAGGAGTACTCAGAGAAGACAAGACCCCTGCAGACAAGCTACTTGGACATTTTCCACTGTTGTTCAATGAAAGGAACTGGATACACCCTCATTCCAGAACTCTTCTTTGTGGGAGGCTCAAACAAACTGAAGGCACTATGTAAAAATTACAAAACTAAATCAACAAAATGACCAGTAAAGCATTAGAATCATAGAATCATTTAGGTTGGAAAAGACCTTTAAGATCATCAAGTCCAACCATTAACTTAGCACTGCCAAGTCCACCACTAAACCATGTCCCTAAGCACCCTATCGGCAGTGTCTTTTAAATGCCTCCAGGGATGGAGACTCAACCACTTCCCTGGGCAGCCCGTTCCAATTCTTAACAACCATTCTGGCGAAGAAATATTTCCTAATGTCCAATCTAAACCTTCCCTGGTGCAACTTGAGGCCGTTTCCCCTCATCCTATCACCCGTTATCAGGGAGAAGAACCCGACCCCCACCTGGCTACCCCCTCCTGTCAGGCAGTTGTAGAGGGCGATAAGGTCTCCCCTCAGCCTCCTTTTCTCCAGGCTGAACAACCCCAGTTCCCTCAGCCACTCCTCAAAAGACTTGTGCTCCAGACCCCTCACCAGCTTTGCTGCTCTCCCCTGCACATGTTCCAGCAACGCAACGTCTTCCCTGCAGTGAGGGGCCTAAAACTGAACACAGTATTCGAGGTGCGGCCTCACCAGTGCCGGGTAAAGGGGGACCATGCTACTCCTGCTGGCTACACTATTTCTAATACAAGCCAGGATGCTATTGGCCTTCTTGGCCACCTGGGCACACTGATGACTGTTGACCAGCACCTAGATATAAAAGAAGTCCTGCAACAATCGCTTTGGTGCTCATTTTGTTGTTAATATATTTATACAAACATTTTTTATTGTCACAGAGTTGGCCAATTTAAGTTCTAGTTGGGCTTTAGCCCTTCTAATTTTCTCTCTGCATGACCTCGTAACATCCATGTAGTCCTCCTGAGATGCCTGCCCCTTCTTCCGAAGCTCATAGTCTTTCCTCTTTTTTTCTGAGATCCAGCCAAAGCTCTCTGTTCAGCCAGGCCGGTCTTCTTCCCCGCCGGCTCATCTTTCTACTCATGGGGATGGTCTGCACCTTTAAGACTTCCTTTTTGAACTTTTTTCTGAGATCCAGCCAAAGCTTGCCCTTTAGGACTGCCTTCCAAGGGACTCTGTCAACCAGGCTCCTAAACAGGCCAAAGTCTGTCCTCTGGAAGTCCAAGGTAGCAGTTCTGTTAACCCCTCTTCCTTACTTCTCCAAGAATCAAAAACTCTATCATTTCATGATCGCTGTGCCCAAGACAGCCTCCAGCCGTCACATCACCCACAAGTCCTTCTCTGTTCCCAAACAACAGCTCCAGTGAAGTGCCTCCCATAGTTTGGCTCACTCACCAGCTGTGTCAGGAAGTTAACCTGCACACACTCCAGGAACCTCCTGGACTGTTTGCTCTCTGCTGTATTGTATTTCCAGCAGACATCTGGTAAGCTGAAGTCCCCCACAAGAACAAGGGCTAATGATCATGAGACTTCTAGCTGCTCTATATTTCATCTGCCTCTTCATGCTGTTTGGGTGGTCTATCCACCATAATATCTGCCTTCTTGGCCTTCCCCCTAATTCTTCCCCATAAACACACAATCACCATCATTAGGCTCTAGACAGTCAAAACATTCCCTAATATACAGGGCTACCCTATTGCCTCTCCTTCCTTGCCTATTCCTTCTGAAGAGTTTATAGCCATCCATTGCAGCACTCCAGTTGTGCAAGTCATCCCACCACATTTCTGTGACTGTAACTGTATCATAGTTTTCCTGCTGCACAATGGCTTCCAGCTTTTCCTGTTTGTTGCACATGCTGCGTACATCGGTTTAGATGCACTTCAGTTGGGCTATTGATCCCGCCACCTTAGGAGAAGCCCTAATTCCTATGTGACCATATTCAGGCTCTTCCGGGGTTTCTAACACATCAATAACCCTTGCATCTTTGCTGCTGCATGGATCCTCATCCGCTACCTCCACTGAGACAGTAGACTGAAGGATCTCACTAGCGCACTGTCCCTCATTAGTATGTCATTAGTAACAATTTGTAAATCTCCTTAATGCACACTGAAAGGTGGAAAGCACAACAGTAAGGTTCAAAAATTATTCCATGGAACATCTTGAGAGCTACAGACCTGTAAAAGCCTGGCATCCAGACAAATTGGTATAAATCATTGTGAAGAACTGAATGAGCAGACACCTGGATGACTTGTTAGAGAAGAGACAACACAGCTTTTGTAAAGTGAAATGTCTGAAGGGTTTATAAGCACATGGATGGAGAGCTATGATCTAGTTAGATTTCCAAGAGAGTTTTGAAAGTCATTAATCAAAGCTTTTTAGAAGAACTTAACAAATGGGGTATAACAAAGAAACGACATGGCACGGATAAAATAATTCCTCAAAAGGTACAAAACAGAGGATAGGAGTAAATCACCAGTCTTCACAGTTGAGAAAGGTGAGTTTTCATGGGTTTCTGTACTGGGACCTATGCTATTCAAGGTATCTGTAAATGACCTGAAAAAAGTGAGATTAACGTTTGCCAACCATAGTCAACAAAGTCATAGAAAAGAAACACACCGAGCATTAGTAAATATGCAGAAACCCCAGCTGGTTGAAGAGGCTTCCACACTGGAAAGAGTTAGAGGCTGGGAGACTAGTAGGAGAATTGTACATGCTTGCCTTGCTCTCATTCTTGGAGCATCTGCTATCAGCCACAGTGAGCAGCAGGTGAAAGGTGCAACCATTCTTAGAACCTTTGCATTTAAGTACCAGTCCCCAGTAAAATAGAGATGGAAAGTTCGTAAAGTCAACTTAGCTGGCAATGCACCTAACATAAGACTTTCTAATACATATCTTGAAACTCTGAAAAGTTAATGTTCTTTAACCTGTATCTGAAGCAAGAGAAATTACTTTAAAATGTCATCCATTAAGAACAAGATTACTAAATTTTTAATATACATTCACTACAAATTCAATGTATTTCAGATAATATATTCAGATATACTATTCATTTTAATTAAGAAAACTCACGTAATATTCAGAGACATGCAAATTAAAATTAAAATCAAGTGTAAAATCTCATGTGTAGAATAAAAAGTAAATTGCAGGGCCCTAAAATCCAACAACTTCCCTTTTATAGATGTGTTTTAAGGCTACAGTTTGTCTTATCTATATCATTGCATCAGGCTTACAATTCATCTGACTCATTAACAAGCTCCAGTTGCAAATAATCTGTCTCAAAAATCTTTTCATTATGTTGCGTGCAGCCACAAACATATTTGCAAGGAATAATCTGCCTATGCTTATGAACACTAATTCTCAAATGGGAAATACATTAAAAAAAACCCTGTCATGTTTGAAGTGGTATGCCAACCATAATGTCTCTACCTACATGCCTGTTGGCAGTCTCTTTATTAGTTTGAAGTATATTTAACTAAATGCTTTTTCAAAGCAAAATGTTTGCTTTTAGTGAAATGTACACCTTCCGTTCAAAAGAATACTGTGTGGATGTATATATGTATACATTTATAATCCAGTATTTGTTTACGTTGCCATCTCTTTGCATATTCCATATGAATATATC